CGCCCCCCCCCGCTCCCAGTGACCCCATACTGGTTCCAGTGACCCCAGCGGGCACCCAGCTGGGGGCCCCCATGATGCCAGTAGTCATCTCAGAGTCCCAGTGACCCCAGTACTGCTCATATGAGTCCCAGACACCATCCCAGTACCCCCACACTGCTCCCAGTGACCCCAGTATTCAGCCGAGGGGTGAGGTCTCATGATTCCAGTAGTCACCCCAGAGTCCCACTCACCCCAGTACCCCTCCCACACTGCTCCCAGTGACCCCAGTACTGCCCATAACAGTCCTGGTCACCCCGTTACCTACACAAGGGGAGGTCCCAGTCATCCCAGTACCCCCATGCTGTCCCCAGTGACCTCAGTACTGCCACAATGGTCTTAGTCACTCCAGTACCTACTGAAAAGGAGGTCCCAGTCACCCCAGTACCCCACACTGCTCCCAGTGACCCTAGTACCCACTCAAGCAAGGGGTCCCCATGGCCCCAGCAGTCACCCCGGCATCCCAGTAACCCCAGTACCCTGCAATGGGGGGTCCCCACGACCCCATCAGTCATCCCAGTGACCCCAGTATCCCCCAAAGCGGGATCCCTGTCACCCTGGCGTCCCAGTGACCCCAGTACCTTGCAATGGGGGGCCCCACGACCCCATCAGTCATCCCAGTGACCCCAGTATCCCCCAAAGCGGGATCCCTGTCACCCTGGCGTCCCAGTGACCCCAGTACCTTGCAATGGGGGGCCCCACGACCCCATCAGTCATCCCAGTGACCCCAGTATCCCCCAAAGCGGGATCCCTGTCACCCTGGCGTCCCAGTGACCCCAGTACCTTGCAATGGGGGGCCCCACGACCCCATCAGTCATCCCAGTGACCCCAGTATCCCCCAAAGCGGGATCCCTGTCACCCTGGCGTCCCAGTGACCCCAGTACCTTGCAATGGGGGGCCCCACGACCCCATCAGTCATCCCAGTGACCCCAGTATCCCCCAAAGCGGGATCCCTGTCACCCTGGCGTCCCAGTGACCCCAGTACCTTGCAATGGGGGGCCCCACGACCCCATCAGTCATCCCAGTGACCCCAGTATCCCCCAAAGCGGGATCCCTGTCACCCTGGCGTCCCAGTGACCCCAGTACCTTGCAATGGGGGGCCCCACGACCCCATCAGTCATCCCAGTGACCCCAGTATCCCCCAAAGCGGGATCCCTGTCACCCTGGCGTCCCAGTGACCCCAGTACCTTGCAATGGGGGGCCCCACGACCCCATCAGTCATCCCAGTGACCCCAGTATCCCCCAAAGCGGGATCCCTGTCACCCTGGCGTCCCAGTGACCCCAGTACCTTGCAATGGGGGGCCCCACGACCCCATCAGTCATCCCAGTGACCCCAGTATCCCCCAAAGCGGGATCCCTGTCACCCTGGCGTCCCAGTGACCCCAGTACCTTGCAATGGGGGGCCCCACGACCCCATCAGTCATCCCAGTGACCCCAGTATCCCCCAAAGCGGGATCCCTGTCACCCTGGCGTCCCAGTGACCCCAGTACCTTGCAATGGGGGGCCCCACGACCCCATCAGTCATCCCAGTGACCCCAGTATCCCCCAAAGCGGGATCCCTGTCACCCTGGCGTCCCAGTGACCCCAGTACCTTGCAATGGGGGGCCCCACGACCCCATCAGTCATCCCAGTGACCCCAGTATCCCCCAAAGCGGGATCCCTGTCACCCTGGCGTCCCAGTGACCCCAGTACCTTGCAATGGGGGGCCCCACGACCCCATCAGTCATCCCAGTGACCCCAGTATCCCCCAAAGCGGGATCCCTGTCACCCTGGCGTCCCAGTGACCCCAGTACCCCACAATGGGGGGTCTCCATGACCCCATCAGTCATCCCAGTAAACCCAGTACCCCGCAATGGGGGCTCCCCATGACCCCATCAGTCATCCCAGTGACCCCAGTACCCCACAATGGAGGGTCCCCGTCACCCCGACATCCCAGTAACCCCAGTACTGCAATGGGGGGGGTCCCCACGACCCCATCAGTCATCCCAGTGACCCCAGTATCCCCAAAGCGGGATCCCTCTCACCCCGGCATCCCAGTAACCCCAGTACCCCGCAATGGGGGGTCCCCACGACCCCATCAGTCATCCCAGTGACCCCAGTATCCCCAAAGCGGGATCCCTCTCACCCCGGCGTCCCAGTGACTCCAGTACCCCGCAATGGGGGGTCCCCACGACCCCATCAGTCATCCCAGTGACCCCAGTGTCCCCAAAGCGGGATCCCTGTACCCCAGCATCCCAGTGACCCCAGTACCCCGCAATGGGGGGATCCCCATGACCCCAACAGTCACCCCGGTGTCCCAATAACCCCAGTACCCTGCAATGGGGGGTCCCCATGACCCCCATCAAGTCATCCCAGCATCCCAGTGACCCAAGTATCCCCAAAGGGGGATCCCTGTCACCCCGGCGTCCCAGTAACCCCAGTACCCTGCAATGGGGGGTCCCCACGACCCCATCAGTCATCCCAGTGACCCCAGTATCCCCAAAGCAGGATCCCTCTCACCCCGGCATCCCAGTAACCCCAGTACCCCGCAATGGGGGGTCCCCACGACCCCATCAGTCATCCCAGTGACCCCAGTATCCCCAAAGC